GTGCCGCGAACGAGCACATATAGGCGATCGGCGGGCTATGGACCCGCTGATCGCCTATATGTGAAACACCCGGTAACGGGTGTGTGCATTTAGCGGGTCTTTTCTGCCCGTGCGTGCCCGCTAGGGGGCGCGCGCGAGCAGAAAAAAATTGCCGTCTGGAGACGGCAACCCGCAGATGCTGCAGTGCCGTCCGTCCGTTTTTTTACTACGGGCGGACGGCAAGAGGTTAAAGTGTATGTCATGCCAAAACTTTTTTAAATTAGGGAAGGGTTAGAACCCCTATTAGGTTTTAAATGCCATGAGTCCATTACAGAGATTTCCTCTAGCTATTTCTTCCGGGGACAATGATTTTAGCAGACAGGAAGAAAGGGAAAATATGCAACGAGGACACAGACAAATAAAAATGTGACAGGGATCTTACCTTCCCCTACTCTATTCCCGTCTCTGTTGGACAGTTCTCCTAACTTTCTATCAGGTAAAACGTTGTCAGCAAGACAGAAAGTTAGCAGAAATCTCTCTAATGGAGTTCCAAATAGCATTAAGAACCTGACAGAGGTTCTAACATTCTCCCAATTTGGCTTTACATATACAGTACTATGATTCCACATACCTGTTCTTCAACTTTAACATCTGCTTTTATTGTGCTGGTGGTGTCTCCGGGCTTGGCTGCTTGTGCACTTTCAGCACTAACTGATCTGGGTTGTGGTGCTGTGGTAGCCACAGGAATGACATGCGCAGCAGGAGCAGAGGTTGCTTTTCTCTTATTCATATCTACAGAATGAGACGGCGCTATAGGCAGCTCTCGCAAGTTGCTGTTTCTTGCATGTGCTACTTGTTGACTGTGAGCCTTCATCATGTGTTGCAATGGTGTACTCTGAAAGAAAAGAACATATATATTTCAAATGTCCCTTTTTTTTTTTTTTTTACATCAGACATATTTTGTGAGTTATGGATATAAGTAATCATTGTTACTCACATGGATTTCAAAAAGCATACAAACAATATATTGCAATATATTTGGCTGGCCTCATACCTGTCTTTGTTTTAAAGCAGGGTGTCGAGGTCCTGGCATTCTGTGTGATGGGTTCTGTGAATGAGCTCTAAATGGAGCAGTCTGTGGCATGGGCATTGGAGGCTTTTGTTGTCCTCCCTGCTGATGATGCTGATGCAAAGTCTGAAGGGGAGGCTGCATGGGTCTCTGTAAAAAGATTAATAGAGATGACACTTACTAGAATGCAAAAAGCCAATTCAGCTGTAACTAGTCAAATCCCATTCTAAAAATGTTAATTACCTGGCTATCATTAGACAATAACTTGGCACAAGTATACAGAGGGCAGGCAGGGTTCCTGACTTCGCTGAAGACATTACAAAGAAGGGAAGTGGTTCTAAGTCTGCACTCGAGTTCTTAACCTCTTCACGACCCATGACAGGATAGTTCCATCATGGGTCCTTAAGGGGTTAAACAGACTAAAAGCCGCTCAGATTTGTAGAGCTGGTGGCCGGTTTTACAATAGAAGAGATTCTGGCGGCGCAGATGCCGCCAGATCACTTCTACAATCCGGTAAAGTGGCCGCACCCCCCGCCCGACACCCCTCTTACGGGCCTAGGACTGGCACCTTGGATGTCGGCAGGAAGCTGGGGAGGAGAGAGGACGTCTGTTCACCGATCTCCCCGTTTTATGGGACCGGGAGCGATGTGTATTGCATTACTTCCGGTCCCATAGCTGTCATTGCTGGGCTACTGAAACCCAGCAATAAGCTATTGAAGTGTGATTTGCACTTCACTAGCTTATTTAGAGCGTAAAGACAATACTAAGGGTCTTTTGGAGGCTTTTAAAGCGTAGTCTGTGGACCTTTTGGGGTATTGAATTCTGTTGCAGTTTCACGGACACACAATTTTTAACTTGGGCATGTTGGGTATCTTTTTACTCGTTGTAACCTCATCTTTTATATTTTACCAAAAAAAAAAAAGGTTTTATATAGTGTTTTGGGGCACTAAATTTAACTTAAGTGCATTTTTCACAACATTTTTGGCTTTGATAATAAGTAGCGCTAATGTCGTGCAACATAAAAATTTGCAACTACCAACATTTTATTCTACATGGTCTTGGCTTTCAGAAAATATATAATGTTTGGGGGTTTGAAGTAATTTTCAGGCTTAAAATGTGGATTATAACATGTAAACAAAAAAAAAGGGGCCTTGGTCCTTAAGGGATTAAAGAGAAACTGAAACTTTGCCCATTCAGGGAAAAGAGACAGTTTACATAAACAAGCCCCCAGCTCACTAATAGCTCTGCAACAATGACCTGTCAATTCTTCTTTTGCAGGCACTTCAAAGTACCCAGTACTTCCAAGCTATGGAGGAGAATGTGACCCCCTTTCATGATGCAATCCTTTTGCCTAGCAGCCAAAAACTAGACCTGAACACTGTCCCATGACACGGTATCAGTCATTATCAGGTATTGTGGTGGTGACTTCAACAGAGAAAGAGGCAGCGTTGGACTGAGTAAATCCCATTTGACCCAGTTTCTTGGCCTATAAATATTAGACATTACTAATAATATGAACAAACCTGCATATTCGACTGATTGTGAGGCATGAAGGGTTGTCCAGGACCTGGTGAAAATTGTTGCCTTGGTGGAGGAAAATGTCTTATATTTGTAGATTGTTGACTGAATGGTGGAATTCCCATTGGCCCTGGAGGTGGCAGGTTAATTCGAACGGGTCGCTCTCTTGTAAATCCGGGGTTATTAAATCCTTGTTGGGGTCCAGGGACAGGCTGCGGAAAGTTTGATTGTGGACCAGTTCCTGGCTGGTTAAATCCTGGCTGAGGTCCAGGATTTTGCTGGTTAAAACCAGGCTGGTTCATTCCTGGTGGGTTAAATGGCACCTGAGGGGCAGACTGGTTGAACCCAGGAGGGGGGCCCGATTGGTTAAAATTTGGTTGAAAACCTGGTTGACCGGGTGGGTTAAAACCAGACTGCGGACCTGGGGGGTTAAAGTTGGGCTGAGGACCCGATTGACTGAAGCCTGGCTGTGGTCCAGGCTGATTGAATCGAGGCTGAGTAAAACCTGCTTGGGGCCCAGGGGGATTAAAGCCTGCTTGTTGACCAGGTCCAGGAGGATTAAAGTTAGACTGGGGCTGACTGAATCTCTGCTGTGGGCCTGGCTGGTTGAAGCCCTGTCCAGGTGGACTGAATGGTGGTGGGTTCTGATTGGGGCCAGGGAGGTTACTGTTAAGAAGTGGAGGTGGAGGCATTGAAGGAGGAGGATTTCTTTGATCAAACATATGATGGTTAGGAAACCGTGGCTCTGCAAGTAATCAAAAACATGGTTGTAAATTCCCTGACAAATACAAAATTAACTAAAAAGATAAGAAATAAAATTTCAAAGTGTATATACAAAAACACAACAGTGTAAAACACATGCACAACACTGAAACAAGAAGATAATACAATTCCATATTTAAATTACCTAATTCAAACCATTACACAGATAATTGACAAGTAGTTCTATCTACTGGTCCCTCTCAAATAAAACTTGCAATATAAAAAGGTAAAGATCAACTGTATCCAAAACTTATTTTAGTTTTAAGTGGGTGCTGTCATACTGAACATCAGGGATCTTAAAGAACTGCATATTTAAAATCTGCTGTCATACAAGGAGCTAAATACAAAAAGATGTATAGGCCACTTCCTTTATACCTCTCTCATTTACAATTTTATTGCGCACCAATAGCATAGCTATCATGATACTTCCGAAGCTCTGACACTAGACCTTTGGGTCTCTTATACAGCAGTTGTCTCATGGTTTGCCCACCCCTCCTCTTGCCCAATCACAGAAATGCTGTGTTTTCTGTGAACCCTTTCACAAAATCCTAAATGAATAGGGAGGGGTGGGCAGTGCGGCTGCTGTGTAGGAGAGTTGGATCTCTCCTTAAAGAGTACTGGTGTATAGCAAAAGCTATAATATCAGTGTTCAGTAAAAGTGTAAATAAAAGAGCTCCAGGAAGTGACAACTCCTTGTATGCCAGCAGACTTTTTTTTTCCAGGAGTTCTTTAAATCTCAAGGCCTCCAGTGAAAAGACACTCCAACCAAAATTCTTATCTGCTTCAGCAATTGCAAAGTGTATTGCCCTGTAATTTCACCTCATTTGAACAATTCAAAGTGACACAAGAGGGCTAACGTTTGACCCCTATTTGTAACCACTTAACCAACTGATGCACCTCCACATTTCAATATCCCAGAATACAACTATGCACAAACTTTATTAGGGCATTAGCTAAGTACAAAAAATAGGATTTTGGTACTCACCGTAAAATCCTTTTCTCTCCGTTCATTGAAGGACACAGGGAACAGATCGGAGATCATGTACTGTAAGTACAGTACCTCTAATGATGTGTGCCCGACGAGTGACTGCTACTTCTTTCTTGAAGTGTTACTTACATGCAAGCCCTTGCAGTGTCGTTACTGCCGAAATTTCGGCAGTGACAGTCCAGGGCTGGAGCAAAGCGGATGACTGGCTCTGCAGCTCCTCCATTCAGAAAACATCTTATATTCTTTTGAAAGAATACAATGAATTCCATGACTGGAAATGTGGAGATTGTGATGCCCCTTGTCCAATCAAAGAATGCCTTGCATGGTTTGAAAAGAATACAAGACAGTTTCCAAAAGGAGGAGCTGTACAGTGAGCGGCCTGCTGCAATCGTTGTGCTCCAGCTCCAACTGTCAATTTCACTGCTGGAACTTTAGCACTAACATCATTGGCAGGGATCTACTAGCTCCACTGTTAAACAACTCCTTCGTGGGCTAAAATGGGCGTGCCCCCAACCACAAAAACTACCCTGCTGCAGATCCACGGCTGCCCCTTCAATGGTCAACCACCAACAGAAAGGAATAAATTACCCTGTGGCCACTGCTCCCTAGTGAAGGTTGCTGCTATTCCTCCTCAGCATCAGTAGTATACTGCTTCTAAAGCCAGAGGCAAAACACCATAGACGTCTGTGATTGTACCATCAGCTCCGCTGTCACAGAAAAAATTACCCTTCTACTGCAAGTGCCTTATAAGCCATGCAGCTCACGACCCAAAAAGGCCAAAAAAACGCTTTGTTTCAGAGCATTCAGTCCTAACGGGAAGCGCTCCATGCCAGCACACTCATAAGAGAAGCTCAAAGAAGGTGCCTTAACAAGTGGCGCTAAATAACTAAAAAAGCTGACCAATAATTGGAGTCCCTGGGAATGGTCTTTATTCGGCCTGACCACATAATATAAAAAATCTTAACAGTAATGGCTGCTCCTCAGACCTTCTCCACATTTGTAGCCTGTGCTCAGGTTGTCAAGTATGCTACCCACTTGTCCAGGACCTTCTTTATTTCTCACTCTTTAGCTCCTGAGATCCTAATGCCATCTAATAGCCTTTTATTTTGGGCAGCGGCATCTTCTCCAGGTTTTATCTAAGGTAATCGATTCATAACACAAAGCCCCTGAGTGAACATACCCTTCTGGAAGCAAGTCCATGTGTAATTCACTCAATTCCAGAAAAAGACAGACTAGTTGGGTAATTTTTAATCAAAGGCTGCTGAAAAGAAGGCATTAGCCAGGTAAACTGGGTGCCTACTCATTGGCAGTACTTGGTATTTCTTCAGACCGTCACCATGCACTGCAGATGACAAAAGGGGATACTACATAGCCGACTGCACAGTAATGAACTGTCATCCTGCAACTTCCATCTCCCTTGCCGATTGGACTGCTTAAAAGACTGGTCACAGGTCTAAACAGTTGAAGTAATGACCTTAGTATCCCTTTAGGTACTCCAGTTATAAAGTACAGCTGTAGACAAACTGGTGTCTTTGAAAGCGGAATTATTAAGGGTTAGTGAAGAGACAGGTCACCAGCACTCAAATGATTTAAATAGATATGTCCTTTTTAATGGACAATTATGTCACAATAATCAACAAAGCCGACTTCTCGGGGCCGCGCAAGGTCCCTTCTTCAAGGCAGAAAGATGTGACACCTTCATCAACTGAAACTTGTTAAGGGTTAGTTCACACCAAAAACTGCATCACAACTGCGTGTGTCTGCGCAGTTGCATTACGATCCGTTTTGACGCCTTTTTGATTTGTTTTTCCCCCTGCATGTCACTGGATGATGCCACAATCAATTGTTTTTTTTATGCGTTCCGTTTCAGTGCGTTTGCACTGCGCTTCATGCAGTTAGATGCAGGTAAAAATAGGACAAGCAGTACTTTTTCTGACTGCATCTGAACGGACTGCAATGGTGTGAATTAAGCACAAGAAAATCCATAGGAAAGCACTGTGATGTATTTTGACCGCAGCAGTCAAAATAAACGGGCTGCATCACAACTGCATATGGTGTGAACTGGCCCTAAAGGAGATCCCTTTGCTTTTACTACCAGCAAATGCTAAAAGGCAGACATTTACAATGATTACATGCTTTCTTCAAGAGAAAGTATCCTTCTGGGTATACACAGTTTGTCCCCTCAAAATATCCATTCCTAAAATATTGTAGACAAAAATCAGTAGGCCTTGTCCAAACTGTTTAACCACTTCCCGTCCAGCGGCCGTAGCTAAACAGCCGGACGGGAGCCTTGCAGATGAGGAGGGGGGCGTTTTAAGACGA